TCCCCCCCCAGTCCTCCCAAGCCCCCCCATCCTGATTTTGGGGTGCTCACGGTGACAGCAGCATGCCCCAGCTGCACTCAGCTGTACAGCTCCAGCAGATCCCAAACCCCCCCAATTCCCCCAAATCTCCCTAAAACCCCCCACCTGTCACCAAACTTCCCTAAGTCCCCCCCAAACAACCCCAACGCACCCCAAGCCCCCCTGTCCCGGTTTTGGGGTGCTCACAGTGACGGCAGCATTCCCCAGCTGTGCCCAGATGTACAGGTCCAGCAGGGCCCAAAACAGCTCCAATCCCCCCCAACACCCCCAAAATAACCCCAAACCCCCCCAAACTCCCCAAAATCCCCCCAAAACAACCCAGTCCCCCCTGTCCAAGCTGTGGGGTGCTCCCATGACAGTGGCATTCCCCAGCTGCGCTCAGCTGTACAGGTCCAGTAGGTCCCAAACCCCCCTTAACTCCCCTAAATCCCCCCCCCACACCCCCCTGATCCCCCCCCAAACTTCCCTAGGTCCTCCCTGCTCCACCCGTGCTGGTTTTGGGGTGCTCACCGTGACGGCGGCGTGCCCCAGCTGTGCCCAGCCGTACAGGTCCAGCAGCCGGTGGATGCTGCCCACCTTGCAGCGCATCAGCCGCTCGCCCTTGGCCAGCGCCGGCCCCTCCGTCCCGTGCAGGTCGTTAATGGGGGTCACCGACGCCAGCCCTGGGCATTGGGGACCCCCCGTCAGCAGTGGGACCCCCCTGAGCTGCAGTGGAGTTCACCAGGGACAGGGGAGGGGGAGTTGTGGGGATGGGTTTGGTGGCCCCCGTGGTTTGCTGGCCCTCGAGGTTCGGTGACCCCAAAGGTTTTAGTGGTCCCCGAGGTTCATTTGGTGGCCCTCAAGGTTTTGGGGGTCCCCAAGGCCTCAAAGGTTTGGTTGGTCCCCAAGGTTTGGTGGCCCCAAAGATTTGGTGTTCCTCAAAGTGTTGTGGGGTTCCCAAGGGTTTGGTGGCGCCCCAAGGTCCCAAAGGTCTCGAAGGTTTGATGATCCAAAAGGTTTTGGGGGTCCCCAAGTTTTATGGGCCCCAAAGGTCTCAAAGCTTTGATGACCCCAAAGGTTTTGGGGATCCCACAGGTCCCAAAGGCTTGGTGACCCTCAAGGGTTTGGTGGCTCCCAAGGTTTTGCGGGTTTTCCCACCCACACCCCCACAGATTACACCCCCTGTGAGTGCCCCCAAACCCCCCCGTGCCCCACGTACCCATGGGGGAGGTGGGCAGGGCCGCGGGGGACGTGGTGGCCATGAAGTCGGCGATCTGCCGCAGCGCCCACACGTGCGACGAGTTGTTCCCCTTCTTCATCTGCTCCTGGATGAGGCTCTCCAGCTCCTCCCGGAAGGACTGTGGCACCCGGGCACACGGTGACAACGTGGGGGGACCATCGGGGACACGGGGGGGTGGGGGAGGGCAACATCATTGGCTTGGTGGAAGTGGCACTGCCAGCTCGGTGTTAGGGACACCAGTGGCTTGGTGGCACAGTGATGGTGGCACCAGCAGCTCAGTGTTGGTGACACAACCAGCTTGGTGACACAGTGATGGTGGCACTGCTGGCTTGGTGTCAGTGGCACTGACAGCTTGGTGGCTCGCTGGCGGTCCCAGCACCACCGGCTTGGTGGCACTACTATCTTGGTGTCAGCAACACCACTGGCCTGGTGGCACTGTGATGGGTGGCACCACCGGCTCGGTGGCACAGCGATGGTGGCATCACGGTGTCAGTGTCACCACTGGCGTGGTGGCACAGTGGCGGGGGGGGGCACTGGCAGCTCAGTGACAGCAGCACCGGAGCAGTGACGTTGGCAGGTGGGGACGTGCACCGAGCCAACACTTGGTGGCATCGCGGTGGCACCGATTGGCCTGGGGACAGGAGGGACCGGGCGGGGGAAGGAGGGATGGGGCAGGGACACAAAGGATGGGGTTGGGGCAAGAGGGCTGGTCTTGGGGACAGGAAGGCTGGGACAAAAGGGAAAGGGGTTGGGGACAGAAAGGTTGGAGTGGGGGACGGGAAGGAAGGGGTTGGGGACACGAAAGACAGGGTTTGGGGACAGGCGGGACGGGATGGGGGGCAGGAGGGCTGGGGTTGGGGACAAGAGAGGGGGTTTGGGGACAGCGCGGGGGCAGGGGCTCACCGGGCTCTGGAGGATCATGGTCACCCGCTTCTTCTGCTCCATGAGGTTGAAGTCCTGGCGCAGGTCCCCCCCCCCGCCCCGCGCCCGCAGGAACTCGGCGCCGTCCTGGGGGGCGCAGCGGGGCCCGGGGCCGGGGGGCTCGGGCAGGGGCTCGGGGCTGGCGGCCGTGCTCATCCTGCGGGACGCGCGGCGTCACCCCCGGCACCCGCACCATGCCCCAAACACGGATTGGGAAGGAGCCACCGAGATACCCCACAGCTGCACCCCGCAGATAAGGCCGGGCGGCCCCGCCCTGCCCCGCGCCTGGCCCGGGGGTGACGAGTTGGCAGGTTGGGGACACCCGGGACGGGGGGGGGATCCCCTGCTGCCTGCACCGCCCGGCCTCGGTTACACCCCCTGAGGAACTGACAGCTGAGAGCGGGCACAGCTCAGCACAGTGATGGGCACAGAGAACGGGCAGCTCAGTGCATGTGCACTAACGAACTGTGGCTGAGAACGGGTGCAGCTCAATACACTGATGGGACCGACAGCTGAGAATGGGCACAGCTCAGTGCACTGGTGGGAACTGAGAATGGGAGCAGCCGCCAAGAACGGGAACCAATCGGGGCAGTGTGGGGACAGTGGCTGAGAATGGACCCAGCTCAGTGCACCGATGGAAGCTGAGAACAGGCAGCTCAGTGCACTGATGGGAGGAGCAGCAGCTGAGAATGGGCCCAGCACGGTGCACGGGTGGGAGCAGTGGCCACGAACGGGCACAGCTCAGTGCACTGATGGGAGCTGAGAACAGGCAGCTCGACGCATTGATGGAAGTGGCAGCCAAGAACAGTCACATCACTGAGGGCGGCAGCTGAGGACAGACACAGCTCAGTGCACCGATGGAAGCAGCAGCTGAGAACGGGCACAGCTCAGTGCATCACGGGAAGCTGAGAATGGACAGCCTGGCACACTGATGGGAGCAGTGGCTGAGAATGGGCACAACTCAGTGCACTCACTGATGGGCAGGGTGGTTGAGAACGCGCACAGCTCAGCACACTGCTGTGGGTGGCAGCTGGGAACGGACACAGCTCAGTGCACAGATGGGAGCTCAGAACCAGCCCATCTTTGTGCACCAATTGGAACAGCAGCTGAGAACGGGCAAAACTCAACGCACCGATGTGGGTGGTGGCCAAGAACGAGCACAGCTCGGTGCAGCAGTGGGGCAGGGGCTGAGAACCGGGACCACTTGTGCGGCAGTGGGAGCAGCTGCTGAGAACGGGCAGCTCAGCACACCCACGGGAGCTGCGAACCGACAGCTCAGCGCACCGATAGGCGCTGAGAACGGGCACAGCTCAATGCACCGATGGGAGCTGAGAACGGACACACCTCAGCACACCCACAGGCTCACCGCCGTGACCCCCACCGCGAATTGGGGTCACCCAGCACCGCGGGGCTGATGCTGCAGTGCCACCGCGTGTGTCAGGGTTCAACCAACCCCCCCACCCCGGGGACCCCCAAAACCCCAGCGCTGACCCCCCACCCCCCCAGGGCATCGTCACTGAAGTGCTTTGGGGGTCCTGCTGCCCAGGCACCCCCAAAGCACAGGGCGGGGCTGCTCCCCCAAATCGCGGAGGGTGACCCCCAAGCCCCCCCTCACTAGGTACGGAAGCAGAGCTCCCCCCCCGAAATTAGAGCCCCCCAAATTTCAGTGCTGGGTGCACACCTGGCTCAGCGGGAAGGGGGGACCTTGGCTGGGATAAAATGCGGGGGGGGGCCCGGTGCCCCCAGGCCGCAGAGCCTGAGCACCCCCAGGGGCCGGGGGGGGCTCTAAGGGCCCCCCCGCAAGCCTGGGGGGGGCTGTGGGTGGGGTAGGACCCCCTAAAGCTGCCCCCTCCCAGCATCCCCCCCCGCCGCCTCCGCCCTCGCCGCGCCCAGCGCCGCTGCGGCAGCCGCAGGGCGGGGGGGGAGCGGGAAAACCGGGATGGATTTGGGGGGGCTGCAGCATCGCCCCCCCCCCGGGGGG